ACGTATGGGAGCTTGGTTATGGGCGCAACTGAAGAGACGAAGAGGCTGCTGTCGGTGAATAAGCAAGTTCAGTTGTCTACCGTCATCCAAGACACACAATTGCAAGGAGAATTCTTGACTTACCAAGGATTGTACAAAATGTTTATCGGGAGAGTTGAAGAAGGAGTGAGACATTTAGAAGAAGCGCTTTCGTTAATGGAGACAACTCCAAAGCACAGAATCCTAAAGCTCATTATTCTCCAAGTTCTTGCTCTTTATCAAAGTTCCAAAAGGAACCCCGTTAAAGTCACTTGACCTTTACAAAAGAGCAGTAGATGAATGCAAAGCAATGGGAAACACGGGCTTAGTAGTAATTCCGGAGATCGATGAAACCAGGAGAGAAGAAGACAGGATACATCTAAACGAAACCAGACTGACCCATAACCAGGCACTTCAAACGGAAGTTGTCATTCTGGTGAGTCAAGCAGTAAAGAACATCTCCACTGATACAACCAGCCAATTCTTTAGTAATTTACTGCTGCAAATACTGACGGAATCTGACTCTGCCATACCAACTGGTGCAACTGGTCGGTTCAACTTTCATTTCTCTGGAGTAAGACTGCTCATTAAATTAAAAAAGAACAAGAACCGTGTAATTCAAATCGGAGATATAGTGAATTTTCATCCCGAAAAAATCCAAAAAAAAGTTGAGAAAAACATCAGTGCAACTTCCTCAAATAACAGCGAACGCACGAAAGCCAACCACGTAGAAGCCTTAGAATCAGAAAAGAGTGCACTGGATATCAGGTTAAAAGTCCTGGGGGAAGAACATTTACAAACCGCTTCCAGCTATCATTCATTAGCAGCTACACAACATTCACTTGGAGACTTTGTGTCAGCCCTTGAGTCAGACAAGCGTGCACTGAATATCAGGTTAAAGGTTTTGGGTAAAGAACATCTACAAACCGCTCACAGCTATCATGAATTAGGACTTACTCAACATTCACTTGGAGACTTTGTGTCAGCCCTTGAGTCAAACAAGTGTGCACTGAATATCAGGTTAAAAGTCCTGGGTAAAGAACATTTACAAACCGCTGACAGCTACCATTCATTAGCAGCTACTCAACATTCACTTGGAGACTTTGTGTCAGCCCTTCCGTCTGCCAAGCGTGCACTGAATATCAGGTTAAAAATCCTTGGCGAAGAACATTCACAAACCGCTGACAGCTATCATTTATTAGGAGTTACTCAACATTCACTTGGAGACTTTGTGTCAGCCCTTGAGTCAAACAAGCGTGCACTGAATATCAGGTTAAAAGTCCTGGGTGAAGAACATTCGCAAGCCGCTGCCAGCTATCATTCATTAGGAGCTACTCAACATTCACTTGGAGACTTTGTGTCAGCCCTTGAGTCAAACAAGCGTGCACTGAATATCAGCTTAGAGGTTCTGGGTGAAGAACATTCACAAACCGCTGACAGCTACCATTCATTAGGAGCTACTCAACATTCACTTGGAGACTTTGTGTCAGCCCTTGAGTCAGACAAGCGTGCATTGAATATCAGTTTAAAAGTCCTGGGTGAAGAACATTCACAAACCGCTGACAGCTATTATTCATTAGGAATTACTCAACATTTACTTGGAGACTTTGTGTCAGCCCTTGAGTCAAACAAGCGTGCATTGAATATCAGGTTAAAAGTCCTGGGTGAAGAACATTCACAAACCGCTGACAGCTATTATTCATTAGGAGCTACTCAACATTCACTTGGAGACTTTGTGTCAGCCCTTGAGTCAGACAAGCGTGCACTGAATATCAGGTTAAAAGTCCTGGGTGAAGAACATTCAGAAACCGCTGACAGCTATCATTCATTAGGAGCTTCTCAACTTTCACTTGGAGACTTTTTGTCGGCCTGTGAGTCAAAGAAGCGTGCACTGAATATCAGGTTAAAAGTCCTGGGTGAAGAACATTCAGAAACCGCTGACAGCTATCATTCATTAGGAGCTACGCAACATTTACTTGGAGACTTTGTGTCAGCCCTTCAGTCGGCCAAGTGTGCACTTGACATCAGAATGAAGGTGCATGGTGAAGAGGATCCACGAACTGTTAACAGCCTGGTTAAGGTGAAGGAGTTAGAAAAGTTGTTGTGAAGGAATTCATGATGAAATAAGAGAAAAGGGAACATTACAATTAAGTATTTTGATAAAAGTCAATTGAATACTCACACTAATATCAAGAGATCCCGATGTAGGTAATTTTTTCGAAGATGATATTTGAAAATTAGTAATACGATGCAACAAGACCTTAAAAAAGTTTTTTTTTAGAAGTAACCAAAGGAAAGGATAGGACTCGTCATTTACAAAGCGCAGCAGTGAAAAGTAAAGGAAGGGTACAAAGCTCAGCGTTATATACATTGTTAAGTTGTTATCATAGAAATTCTTTCACTCGCCCTTTTTCTTCTTTTTTTCTTCATAGAGACTGTTGGTATATTTTTGAGTTTTTAGGATTTTTTTCGTGAAAAGACAAATTCATGGATATTTATATTCTTCACGTGTTGTAACTGTAGTTGTGGAAATGTACACGCATGAAATTCGTTTGTCAGTAGGTCTAAAGCTTCCACTGATATTTTTATTTTCATGATATCAATTACTCCGTTCTTCTGGCATGGAGTTCTTTTGTAATACAGCTGCGCAAGAAGCGAATCTATCAGTTGATTGCATGCCTCAAACTCGAATTGAATGATTAAGTGAGCCTGTTATTTGAGAGATTTTCGTATTGGACGGAGTTTCTGAAGTGACACAATTTATCTTTTAGCTTACCTTAACAAAGCTCTTCCTAACGACTTAAGTTAACAAAAGAAACTTGATGATTTTATTTAACCAGACAAAAATAGTCTCGATGGGGATATGCGTACCAAAACAAGATTTCCCGCTTGTCGTAAAATCATAGCCAAAACTTGAGACATGGTCTTTTCTTTTTTTCAATCTGAAATATATTTTTGTAAATGAATGGTCTTCGCAACAAGAAATTGCTAAGCCAGACACTTTTAATCTTTGTTCAATTAAACACATTGTTAAGGACAACTTTTTATCCTTAAGTTTCCTGGTTGTTTCGTTTGTAATTCAATAACTACGTCATAGACCTATTTGCAACAGGTGATCAAAGTGAGAGAGCCAATGAGAGTGAGAGTCCACAGTAGCTACCATAGCAACCAATAGAACTGCTTCCAAATTTGACCGAGTTCATAAACTGTGAATGTGACGAGTACAAATACAGTGACTTGAGATGTCCCTCGTGGCGTCTAAATCCTCGTGGGCTCGGGCCACTCTGTAGAAAGAACAATGAATATGTTTAGTAAGGGACCGATCATCGTTTCTCACTTGGGATGGGGGGGGGGGGGGGGGATGAAGGGATAAGGTTGATAAGGTTGTGTCACAATAAAATTTACCTGATCCCCCCATAATTTTGAGCCATGGGGAGGGAGGGGGTGGTAAAGGAATTTGGAATTTACCTGATTCCCCCATACAGCTCTGTAATATTCTTATATACCGTTTTTCAATTGGCAGCTGATTGGCAGTCAATTTTTTATAGTCCGCCCCCTCGTTTTTACTCTGTCAGTGACGACTGATACCAACGTGCCTCCACTGAAAACCATGTGATCCCATCAAAATCCTCCACCCCTCCCCCCGGCGATTAAAAATGACTGTTCCCTAAAACGTTCTAAGTTTCAAGAAAACGTTTAGTCCTGAATATTTTCAATTCATTGTGTAATAAAAAATTTTTGGGTATGGAGGGGAGGGAAGGGTGTCTATATAGCATTTTACAAGGATTATAAAATCGATTTGAACGACTTTCGTGAGTGTTTTCAGGTTCAACTGAGTCTATAAAACAGAATGAATATATTCTCACTCTCCTTGAGCGATGCACTTTCTTCTTGGGCATAACTTAAAGAAACTTTAAAAGTTTTAACCTCCTGTTCCAACTTGTCCAATGTCCTCCTGGTTTTGCCCTGTTTTCTATTCTAAGCTTTTGACATCTTTGTTAAATGTGATGGTTGTCTCTGACCATACTGCTGCCAGCTCGTTAACATGGCCAACTGTTGTATTCAACTTCTTCGTCACATTTTGAATCTGCTTGGTATGTTTGTCGAACTTGTCAAATATTTGTTTAAACTCCTTCTCATTGCCTGTTCCTTTGACAGCTGTAGAGACTTGGTTGCTGAGATTTTCTATGATTGCTGACTGGACTTTGATCAGGCTCGTCACAGTTTCAAGATTGTTTGAAAGCGCGTTAATCTGGTAAAAAAATGTAATGTTGTGAGCGTTCATTATCAAAACTGAAACCTGGACCCTAAAACCTGGACTCGGGGAACTTACGCATGGGAAAATGACCCCATACTGAGAACCGAAATGGAGGTAAAAAATGGTGGATATTTACCCAACTGTGAAGCGGTCAGGTAAATATCTACCATGCAGACTGTTTAGTACTTAAAACACATTGGCTTATTTGTTCCCAGGAAAAGCAAAAAAAAGAAGAAATTTAGAAAAAAAAATCAAAGTAAATTTGCATCATATCATTGCTGAAGATAAAAAAGGGACTAAATATGATTTAGAAAGAGGAGTCAGTCGACACACCAATGGTTGGATAACTGAAATGATAACCATTGTGTTCTCCCGACATAATCGATGCGTGATACATAACGTCTCATAAATGTTGGATATGTCACGTGCGCGTTTGTGAAAGGCTCGAAGTATGTCACGTGCGCGTTTGTGAAAGGCTCGAAGTTAAACGCGAAGCGAGTTCCCACGTGGGCATCTCGTTAGCTAAACGCGACGCGTTTAGACTTAATGTCCGCCTTTAAGCAAAAATTCAGGGACATTTACCTCTTGGTAAATTGCGGCTGATATGCACGACACCCATTCAACTTGTTCATTTAATCGTGACATAACTCCAAAACGAAACTATTCAACAATGCTTTATTCAAAATTTAAAAATAATCTGCAAAGAAAACCCATCAAGTCTGACATGCCTTGGTGAGTCTTTTATGAAAAAGACAAAATGTTCAGTCATGAGGGAAATAACTTGACCGCAATAGTTTCGAATGTTTTCGATATTAGTCAATGAGATCTATTAATATCTCTGATGAAGGACAAACAAATTGGTGGAGTTGTTCTTTTATCACACCCACCTGCGGCTCTTAGCACATCTCTCCAGTTCACTCGTTCCTGATCAAACAGAAATTTGGATATCCAAAGACTCTACGACTGTTAAAGATGTGAAGGTAAGTAAATATATTTCACTTTGTTGGTCAAGGTCTGTTCTGGATGAGTAGAGCAACAAACGTTACTAAAAGCTGCTGTTTTCGTCAGCCTGGACTGATTATTCTTGGTCAGAGAAGTGTGTGTACATGCTCTTTCAAGTTTATGGTACTTGTACAGTTGTACAGTAACTAAGTTCTGAGCCACAGAAAGAAAATACTTTTACAGATCTTAAGCGAACTCAATAGTGATCAAAAGTATTTTTCAACGAAAGGCCGAAGGAAATGACCATGAATATCGTTGGTCACCCACATCTCACGAAGTAAATATCTCTTTTTGTGTTCATTAGTCATATTTCTAGATCTCATGCAGCTCTGGTGATATCCCCTGCGATGATTTCCATCCTCGTTGAAGTTTGAGTTACATTTTGTAGTATACTAAGTACTGTTGCAGAGATTGCACCATAGCAAAATCTTGTAAAGACATTGAAACGGTCTTTGTAACCCATCATGGAATGAACTATGTTTTGTGTTCCTGTTTGCGAAATGGAAGCGTCTTATCAAGAAATTTTCACACCCTTAACTCGTTCCAATCTGAGCAATACTCAACTCGTTAAAAGTGATGAAAATTTAATCTTACTTTTCTGAAAACAAACCTTTTCAACGGATGCGCCTACGGCAAAATAAGACGCAGCCAGCGCTGCGTCATAGGAGATCCATGTTGGCTCCACTGAGATTAGATATTGATTTGACTTAAACAATCGTGAAGTCTTTCTACTATGTTGGTCAAAGCCTTTTCTGGATGAGTAGAGCGACAAACGTTTCTAAACGCAGCTGTTTTCGTTAGCCTGGACTGATTATTCTTGGTCGGAGAAGTATATATGCTCTTTCGAGTTTACGCTTCATGTATAGTAACTAAGTTCTGAGCCACAGAAAGAAGACATTTTTACCGATCTTGAGCGAACTAATAGTGTTAAAAAGCATTTCACAACGAAACGTCGCAGGAAATGAAATGATCATGAATATCGTTGGTAACAAACATTTTCTAGCATCGACTAAGTACTGTGCATAAATTGCGCCATAGCAAAATCTTGTAAAGATATTGAAACGGTCTAGTGAACCCACCATGGAATTGAATATATTTTATGTTCCTGTTTGCGAAATGGAAGCGTCTTATGAAGAATTTTTCACACTCTTAGCTCGTCCCAATCTGAGCAGTACTTAACTCAATAAAAGTGATGAAAATTCAATCTTACTTTTCTGAAAAAAAAACTTTTCAACGAGTGCGCCTGCGGCAAAATACCACGCACCCAACGCTGCGTCATAGTAGAGACATGTTTGCTTCACTCAGCTGATTAGTTATTGATCTGATTCACTGGAGCGGTTTTCAATCGAACGAAGAAAGTAATACTAGATTGCTACTCTGGTTTGATTGGTTCAGAAAATTCTAACCATTCTCTGAGCGAATCACGTTCAAAACTTGACCAATTGCGTCTTAGTCAATTCCGTTTTTTCGCGTTTTTGGGTAGTTTGCTTGTTTCTACTTCGAGATCTTATTGGCCGCTAATGATGTTTTCCATTGTTCTCAGTGATTGATTTTGATGAGTTCGGCTTTGACTTTACTACAATCAATACTTTACCTCTTCCGTGTCAAACGCCTCTGTAGCTGCCTCTACCTTTTACACCCTTGCATCATTATGCATATTCTCCATACTGTTCTCTGTACATTTCCTCAGTTTTAATAAGGAGAATTTGTGAAACCATCACGAGCTTCGTTTGTTTCTGATCATTTCCTTTATTTTCGTGATTTAAACATTTGATTCAAGGGAAGGATTGTAAAGAGAAATTAGAACCTTGTCACTCTTAGGGATAAACAGGTTAAAGCGCCAAGATTTGTTTTTGTTTATTTGTAGTAGGCGGCCACCTCGATTGCTCGCATCCACGGTCTTGTAGTAAAAATAGTCATCCTCTATATTATAGAGAATTCTTTACAAATGTCTACCGTTTGAAAGTAAATATGGTTTAGAAAGAGGAGTCAGTCGAATCACCAGTGGTTGTATAACTGTTGCTTATCTTCAAAAGAAGTGATAACCATTGTGTTCTCTCGACATAATCGATGCGTGACAACGTGTGGATATGTAACATGCGCGTTTGTGAAAGGCTCGAAGTTTAACGCGAAGTGAGTTCCCACGTGGACATCTCGTTAGCTAAACGCGACACGTGAATTATCAGCGTAGGTATTTGAGTCTGTTTGAATAGAACGCAAATGGGGTTTTTCTGATTACAACTATTCGTTTACTTGCTCTTGTTACGCTTTTTGGGCACGCTAAAACGAAATTGTTTACAAGCTCATTCAACAGCACAGCTCAAACTGTTTTTCTTTCCTTTCCTCTCCACTTGCCTTTCTACTGTCCCACCCTCATCATGTCACGTGAGTCCTACCGATACACTCAACCCTCCCCAGGCCAAGCCGGATCAGCTTGGCTCATTTGTTCCCAATCTTAACTCACTTTGAGAACCAGTCAATATTCATCCCCAGCCAGGGGGGAGGATTAGGGGAACACATGGTTTTCGGAGCAAAAAACTGGCGATTAGGAGGGGATAATAAGAACATTACAGAACCGTAGGAGATCATCTAATATCCTCCACTCACCCCCCCCCCCCCCATCCCCTCCCTCATACCCCTCCTGTGATTAAAAAAAATTACTGGTTCCTTAAATTAAAAAATTGGCAGTGTTATGAAACTGTTGTTGGTTTCTATGATTCAAAGTGCACTGATTGTCATATTTCAATATTTGTTTTTGTCTTCATACTTATCGGGTCGCAAACCTAACAATCTTCTGCCTCGCATTCCATGAAGTTTATGGATAGCTGGTTAACCTGTCGGAGGCGACCTTTCAACGACATAAGGTTTACTCTTGTAGCGTGGACCGGTGAGAGTCATTCTCGTAAGCTTTTAATGCTTCAGTTATGGAATCCTTTTCATTTCTTTTCGGGATATCTGCTTACCAGAGCCTACAATGGTCCAAACAGAACAATGCCAAAAGACCCACTTTTATTTAATTGGGCTCAAGCCAAAAGAACTGGGTCGATTACTGTAAGTCGAGGGTTGTTAGTAAACTGTTGCGTCAAATACACAATAATAAGTAAAAGAGTTTTTTTCAGTCATAATTCTTTTCGGAAGGGAGGGGGGGGGGGATAGGAGAGGATTTTAGGAGGGTCACATGGTTTGTTCCTTTTCGTCACCAAAAGAGTATAACAAAATTAAGGAATATTGACGATACGAATCCTAATCCTTTCCTTCTAAAGTAATCATGCTCTTCACATGTGATATGTTCATGCATGTCTTACTATTAATTCAAAGTTGAATGTCAATCGAACACCTCCCTCCGCCAATCTCCTCTGCTACAGGCACTGAACCATTCCCCACTCACGTGGAAAGTTCACCAGCCGAGCTGGAACGAGTCTGAGCGCCAAATAATCCATACCATGCGAGACAAGCTGCTTCAAAAAAGGCTGAAAACGGCCTCTTCGAGAATGCCCTTTTTGCTCAAAGATCAAATGCAAAGTTCAAAACCTACCCTCCCCACCTCTGAGGTTTGGACACACGCATTACAGCAACCCGCCCTCCCTGTTTGACGATAAGCTTTCCTGCCTTTTTTTTAAGAGCGCTTAGACTTAATGTCCACCTTCAAGCGAAAACTCAGGGACTGCCGTGTCTTGGTAAATTTAGGCTGATATGCACGACAACCATTCAACTTGTTCATTTGATCATGACATGACGCCAAAACGAAACTATGCAACAATGCTTTATTCAAAATTTAAAAACAATCTGCAAAGAACAGCCATCAAGTCTGATATGCCTTCGTGAGTCTTTTATGAAGAAGACAAAACGTTCAGTCATGAGGGAAATAATTTGACCGCAATAGTTTCGAATGTTTTCTGCATTATTAATGAGATCTATTAAAATCTCTGATAAAAGACAAACACATTAGTGGAGTTGTTCTTTTATCAAACCCACGACGAGGCTCCTAACACATTTCTGCAGTACACTCGTTCCTGATTGAACAGAAATTTGGATATCCAAAGACTCTGCGACTGTGTAAGATGTGAACGTAAGTAAATATGTTTCACTTTGTCGGGCAAAGCATTTTTGGACGAGTAGGGCGATAAAAGCTTCTAAAAGCTGCTGTTTTCGTCAGCCTGGACTGATTATTCTCGGACAGAGAAGTTTATATGCTTTTTCAAGTTTACTGCGGTACATGTTCAGTAACTAAGTTATGAACCGCAGAAAGACGATATTTAACAGATCTTGAGGGAACTCAATAGTGATCAAAAGTATTTCGCAACGAAAAGGTCGAAGGAAACGATCATGAATATCGTTGGTTACCCAAATCTCACGCGTTTAATCTCTCTTTTTCTGTTCATTAGTCATATTTCTGGATCTCATGCAGCTGGGGTGATATCCACTGCTATGATTTCCATCCTCGTTGAAGTTTGAGTTACAATTTCTGGTGTACTAAGTACTGTTGCAGAGATTGCGCCATAATAAAATCTTGTAAAGATATTGAAACGGTCTAGTGAACCCACCATGGAATTGAATATATTTTGTGTTTCTGTTTGCGACATGGAGGCGTCTTATGAAAAAATTTTCATACTCTTAACTCGTCCCAATTTGAGCAGTACTTAACTCGATAAAAGTGATGAAAATTCAATCTTACTTTTCTGAAATCAAAACTTTTCAACGGATGCGCCTACGGCAAAATACCGGGAACCCAGTGCTGCGTCATAGTAGAGACATGTCGGCTTCACTCAGCTGATAAGCTATTGATATGATTTTAACTGAGCGGTTTTCAATTCAGTGTTGAAAATAATCCAATTTATTGTTTTTTTAGAGGGCACGGTAACGAATCCTGCAATCTGATTGGTTCTTTACCCGGTCAGTATTTTCCTATCTCTGCCCACGGGCCACGGTAACGCTTTCGTGAGTCGCCGTGTACATCTCAACTTTCGTTGCCATTTTTCATAAATATACCTCGTTTTGCCCGCTGGGCAGTATTTTTAAGCAAACACATCGGTCACTACCTCAAGCCGACTTATGAATCCTCTCTTTCTCTCTCTCAAATCAATTTAGTTGACAAAAAAATATTGGTTTCAGAATGAATTTGTATAGGCAATGGTGTCATTACGTCGGTTGACAAGCGGCCTAAAAACCGTCTGCAATTGATTTTAATCATTCACAAAAAGTACTTAGAAAGTTAAAACGTGAGGTATTTGGTTACAGGTAAACTGAACAATGGAACTTTCATTCATTTAATGTCTGAATTTTCTCAAACAATTTGTTCGTAGTAAAAGAGCGAGCGAAGTTTTAATTTCAGTTCGACAATAAATATACGCTCTTGGTGAGTCTTTCAAAGTCCGTTAAATTTGGACATTTGGACCATAAATTGCACAACAGAAACTGAAGGAATTTATTGAGAAAAGGCCGCATTAAATCCCCTTGTGTCTCGTTGGAGTGTGCCGTTCGAATTCAGTTTTTGTGGAGGAAAGACCAGATTTACACACGCCGTTGCAGCAAACAAACGAGCAAACTCTCACAACTTCAAAATAAAAAAATTGAATTTACTCACAATTACTCTCCTCGCCGTTTACTTAATGAACAGAGGTAAATCTTCGTACATGAATGAATCGTCGATGAGAGTGAATAATACTTTCCGTTATATCATTGATTGTTTTTGAAGAAAACATTGTCGTGACAGTCCTTGCCAAACTAGTTCCGTTGTTTTTCAAATCTTCTTGCGCTTTTTTTTTCTTACGCGCTCTCTAATTGACAGGTGTCAGATTGTGGCAGATACTTGTAAAAATAATGTTTCAAAGTTTGTTTGGAAGCCTTTTAAATCATCTTTATCGTTACGGAAATGAAAATGTTTCGCTGAGGCATCTCTCTTTAATTTGCATCACCGCTATTTTAACTACCATTTACTCACTCAAAAATTGTTCAGTTTATGGAAGATCTTGCCGTATTTACTGCCCTAAATCATTCGGGTTCTTTTGGAAAGAATTTCGTCAAGTTTAAAAAACAATAAATATGTTAGTATGGTGAAAAACTGTGACCTCGGTCTTGAAAATGCGGCCTCGGGCAGTATTTTCAAGACCGAGGTCACAGTTTTTCACCGTACGGACCTCCCAGCCGGCAAATAACATATATATAACCATGCTCCCGCTTTACTTTGCTCTGTGTCTGGTCCAGAAAATTCTCACCATCGTCTAAACGAAACAGGTTCAAAACTTGACCAATTACGTTTTAGTCAATAACGTTTTTTCGCGCTCCAGGTAGTTTGCTTGTTTCTACTTCGAGATCTCATTGGCTGCTTATGATGTTTTCCATTGTTTTCAGTGATTGATTTTGATGAGTTTGGCTTTGACTTTACTACAATCAATACTTTACCTCCTCCGCGTCAAACGTAACTGGAGCTGCCTCAACCCTTTACACCCTAAAATCATTATGCATATTCTCCATACTGTTCTCTGTACATTTCCTGAGTTTTAACAAGGAGAATTTGTAAAACCATCACGAGCTTCGTTAGTTTCTGATAATTTCCTTTATTCTCGTGGCTTAAAGATTTGATTCAAGGGAAGGATTGTAAAGAGAAATTAGAACCTTGTCACTCTTAGGGATTTAAGGGTTAAAGCGCCACTAGATTTGTTTTTGTTTATTTGTACTAGGCGGCCATCTCGATTGCTCGCGTTCACGTTCACAGTCTTGAAGTAAAAATAATCATCCTCTTCATTGTACAGAATTTTATATAAATATCTACTGTTTGAGAATAAATATGGCTTTGAAAGAGAACTCGGTCGAAACACCAGTTGGCTTATCTTGAAAAGAAGTGATAACCATTGTGTTCTCTCGGCGTAATCGATGCGTGACGTATAAGGTGTGAAACAAGCTGGATATGTCACGTGCGCGTTTGTGAAAGGCTCGAAGTTATAGGCGAAGTGAGTTCTCACGTGTAGCTAAACGTGACGCATGAATCGTCAGCGTATGTATTTTAGCCTGTTTGAAGAATGCAGAATACAGAATTTGTTCTTTGTTCCATGCTTGTGACAGGATGAAAAACATCTTTCTTTATCTATTTGTCATGTAAGATAAGATACTAAGTCACGAGAAAAACATTGTGACCTCCGTGTGCTTAAATTCGAATGCCTCGGGCGTTAGTCATGAGTCGCTTCATCCCATCCCGTTTCTCTTTAGGCGGTGTTCTCTGCTGCGTATTTCAAGTATTTGACTCGTTACCAAGACTCAGAGATTTCTTTAGTTCCGAACGACGTCGGACTCTTAATTGTAAAGGTGAGTAAATAAATTCCCTTTTGTTGCCTGTTACTTGCCCAATCAGAATAGTAAATTGATAAACCGACCATTTTCCCTCGCTCGCCATGCGGCGTATTCAGCTTAAATTTTGAAAGTTAATTAGGAGATGCGCCTAAATATCAACGACCTGAGAGACAGAGAAGTATTCCTTCACATCTTAGGCCAAAAATAAAAGCTAATCGTTAACATTTTATTTGAAGCAGCCAGACGATTCACTTTTATCTTGAAGGGGGTTGTGAGGTATTTCCTAAAATGACTCAGATGGGGAGGCTCCGCCCATTAGACGGACCTTATCCGGGCTTCAGATTTTTTAACGGATTGTGAAATCTGTCGGTTTGATATTCAAAAGTAGGCTTAAAAGGGGCACAAATGTTTTGTGGATAGTGTACGAAAAGGATGCCTTTTCTACAGTTGTAAAAGTGAGTAAGGGGTTGGACCTCGACGGGAACCTTCTCATCTAGAACTTCTTAGAGCACCCCCGACCTTGATACCGCCAAGAGCAGTTTCCTGGAGGTATTGCATCCTTACCACTTTTTTCCTCAAACAGTTTACATTGTCGTTGAAGCCAGACCCTGCGGAAGTTGTCATACACAAGAGAAGAATTAATTCTCGCTACCGATTGTTCACTTCGACAGAGGCGAGAGAAGGTAAGTTATTTCTGCGTTTTATCTGGATCACATGTTTGTTGAGTCAATGCTGTCCAAACTATAAAACGTTTGAGAACTGTTGGACCTCAAAGTGGAGTTTACCCGTATAGAACGTTTACTTCGTTAGTAACCTACCCCTTCCTTCGGTTGTCGATGCCGTAAGTGGCCTTTACCGAGCCTAAGTTTTAGCAAATTTTGCTTCTTACACTAATACGCTGTTGTTTCACTCCTTCGTAGTGGAAGCTGTTGTAAACGAGAAGGGAAGTTCACTCCGATTCAGACAAGAAAAGGTGAGACATCTTTGCGCTTTGTTTGGGCAACCTATGTGCACGTTTGTCGGATATTACTTTAAAAAATGCTGTCGGAAATTAATAGCATTTGAGAAGCGAAGGAGTCGACGGTTCGCCCGAAAGTAGTGGAAGCAGCTTGAACAAAAACCTTAAGTGCCGCTCTCGGTAAGAGCGGTCCTCTGGACTTCTCGTTGGAAAAAAAAATTTTCTTTAATGATTTTACGCTATTATGGACCACAACGGTTTTGAGCGACAAACTCAAGATTTCCCTGCGATTATTAAAATCAACTGGACAAACCCAGCTTTATGTATTGCGTGACGTGTTATGCTAATTTTTCCCTTGTCATATAACCTGTTTCGCGGGTTGTAAAAAGTGAAATTATCGTTCTGGTATTCTACGACAGAAATCAGGGCTGAAATGCCCGCAGCTACTAGAATCTTTGCTTTCCATGAATCAAGTAAACATTTTAAAAGATTAAATTCTCAGTAAAATGTAAAATTCCTCAGTCCATTTTAATAAATTTCGATTCTAATTCAATGTAGAAGATAAACAAACGAAGTTTGAACGGTGAAGAGGAGATCTTAGTCAATTTTCAGAATTATGCAAATATTCTTTGACACGAGCGCAATTTAGCAAACACATGGATTTGCGTTGTTTTTAAGATGTTGGTGGATGAAAGTTAGAGATATACCCGCGGGTTTGAGGCAATCGGTGATCTCATTGATGTATAAACTATGCACCGATATGCTTTTTTAGCCCGATTAACGCCTGCAATTTGAGAATTCTTTCGTACAAAACGGTGAACTTTTGATATGAAAATTAAGGTCGAAGAGAAGGGTCTCTGATCACGCTGGTATAAAAAATTTCAGGTGAAGTTTCCATATTTTGTCTGTGAACTAACTGAATACATCTTGTAACTTGTAGCAAGATTGAATTCCGTGAGCTATATTATCGCAGTTACTGCGCGCTGGACAAAATCTGTGAAATTTACACTTTTGATCGCTGTCCACACGGGTGGTCTAGCAACGTTACTTACTCCCTTTCTTAAAAAAAAAATAAAAGAAAATTTTTTCTAACGGGAAGTCGAGAGGACCGCTTTCAGCGAGAGCGGCACTCTTATTTCCTCCTGCGCTTCCGAGACTGTCGAGGAGACAGTAAGCTCTCTGTTTCCAAGAGGAGCACCTCAGGCTAATTTTTTTAGGGTAATTTAGTATTATCGACTGAGCTGATAACGTAAATTGGCCACCGGAAAGAGTTTAAAAGCTAATGTTTCGAGCGTTAGCCAATCGCTCCGACTAAGGGTTAACGCTCGAAACGTCAGCTTTTAAACACTTTGAGGTGACCAATTTACGTTATCAACTCAGTTAATAGTGCTAAATTACCCTGATATACTCTCCCACCGATGCAGCACCACAGTTTCTTTAGAAATTAGCCCCCTTAGTTTTTTTTTTCGTTGTTCTCTTATGTAGGGGTCAAGTTAAGGGCTGAGAAAATTTACAGTGATGCGAGAAATTAGGATTGCTTTCAATCGCTGAGTAATTACTTTACCATTAGCGGTGAAAGACATTCTCCTTCCTAAACTCAGAGCCATCCTCGATTAAATCTTTTCAGGTATCTCTAAAAAACTCCATTTTATAACTGGCTTCGCTGCAACCCCCAGTGTACCAAATTTTAGTGAGGAAGTCCCTTTCTCAATTAGAACTGTTTTATTACAGACCCCAGGGAAATCTCTCCGAATGTACTGAGATCATCGTTGCTCGTCATAACAAGGTAACAGTAATGACTCTACAGCCGTTTACAAACGAACAGTTAAATTACTTCAAGTTCGCTTCTGTCGTGATTAATGAATTTCCAAAGATATTACGTCAAGCCTTCAAAACTAGGTGGGACAACACCTTTGGACATCTTCCTGGTTTCCAGCCCTGGGATGACTCCCTTGCCGTGCGGAATCTGTTCCTTGCCACAGAGGGTGGATCAACTAAAGTCCCTACTAATCTTCCGTATGATGACTGGGATTGTACTGCCTTGTTCCAAGCCACCATCTTCGCAAAGTCCTTTTCTATGCCAGACGGCAGAGGACATCAGAGAACACTCAGCTACTTGTTCGTGAGACCCCATGGACTCCCTCCCGGAGGTTTCCATGCTTCTGTGATCAGCTCAACTGGGAACGATGCTGAGTCATTTACTTTGGCGATCGATCAACTGCGACTTTTACGAAATGCGTTCTGCCACGCACCAAGCTCCGAGATCCCAAAAGCAACATTCCACATGTACATCCAACTAACCAAAGACGCGTTCCATGCCCTTGGTGTCTCTTACATCTCTGTTAATACAATTGGAAGTTTAACTGAGGCAGATTTCCCAATAGAAAAAGTCCGCAAGCTCGAGGATGAGATCAGAAAAGAGGGTCAGGCTGAAAATGCGTTCCTCAAAGACCAAGTAAAAAATGAGCTGATGGACATGCGGTCTGATAACGCAGAAGCAAGCCAGGAGCGGCGGGATGAGGCACAACGGATAGTGACAGAGATGAAAGAAGGGTTCCGACAGGTGAAAATGCAAAATGAAGAACAGAAAGAACAAATTTTGGAGTCAGTGGAAAGAGCTATCAGGTCTCATAATGCGCAATCGAAGCGAGCAAGAGAAGAAGAAACAGCACACGTAGCCAAAAAGAGGAAGGAGGACATTCAACTGTTGAAGAACGAGTTTCAAAGGCACAATGAGGAAATGAGAAAGGAGGCTTTGGAGCTTAAAGAAACTATCAGGTCTAAAATCGATCAATCAAACCAGGCAAGAGAGAAAGATGCAGCATCAGCAGCTCAAGAAAGAAAAGAAGAGATTCAGGAGTTGAGGAAACAGTTGGAGTTGGCAACATCATCTGTACCCCAACAAGAAATGGGTCAGAAACTTGCTGAATTGAACCAAAAGATTGATGACATCATCATAAAGACCACGAAACAAGGTAATAGGCCTGCTATTGTTTGTCTTAAAGACTACTTCTTTTCGCAGGAACAACAAGATAATTTTTTTTTGCGATTGTTATCTATTAAGGGGAGAACTACCAGATAGTCTTCAATAAAGCAGTCAGAAACTTTGAAGGCCACTCTTCCTATAACAATAAGTTTTGTTAATTAATGAAGCCAAACTTCTCACATTAATTCTGAAATTATATTCAGAGGAGAATTTGTTTAGAAGTATTACGATACTAACCGCCGTAGAATACTGTACTTTGCATTTGCACATATATTCATCTTCCGAACTAAAGTCTGTCATTTTGTCGCAGAGTTTAAGCCCACTCTACCAAAATCAAATCTTCCCTCAATGGTTCCTCACTTCACTGGGCGCGAGAAGGAATGCAACGACGTCATTGCTCACGTGACCAACGAAGCCACTCGCCTCGTTTCCATATGGGGCTCGCCAGGGTTCGGAAAAACGTCGACTGCAATCGCCATAGGACATCGCCTCCAAGCGCAAGGCCTGCCGGTATACTTTATTTCGTTACGTGGCCTAAGGTTAAAGAGTGATCTAACGTCGAGATTTCTTGGACTGTTTACGCATTCTGCGACAGCATCCCAGCGTTTGACAGCAGATGACGAACTTTGCTCAATTTTGGCTCAAATTGCAAATCCCTTCGTTTTCATCCTTGATAATGCCGATGATCTTTTTGAAAGTGGCCTTCCGAACGTCAAAGAGGAAGTTGTTGATTTAATTGGAGAAATTCTCAATTGCAGCCATAAGGTAACGTTTCTTCTCACCACAAGAGAATCTTGTCAATTCTTAGATCTGCGCTTCAAAGGACACTATGCTTTAAGAATTAGAGAGCTGGATGAGCAATCCTCTTCAAAACTTGTTCAAGAACTGCTTCCAGAAGCGAGTAAGTCTGATTGTATAAAAGTTAGGCAGATTTGCGGGAGTGTACCATTGGCCATGAAGTTGTTGTGTTCCTCCATTTCGGGGGATACTACCGGAACATCAAGCCGGTCGGTTGACATGTTCTTGAATACCACAAATAACATTCTGGAAATGTTGGGCAACCCAGACTATCCCAGCAGTTATCGGTCAAAGGATCTTTTTGAAGCCTCTTTTCAGAGACTTTCAGTAAAGGAAAGAGAAGCACTGGTCTCACTTTGCATTCTTCCCAACCACTTTGACCTACATGTCGCATCAGCTGTGTTAGGAATGAAAACAATTCAAGCTGCTAGAATGCTGGAGAAACTCAAGCGAAAATCCCTCATTGATTCTAGTTCCAAAGCCAAGAAATATTCCATCCAGAAGCTGTTATTGTCATTTATACAGGAAAAAGGGGAAAACGAAATGAAAGAAATGGTTCTCAACGCTAAAGTGCGTTTTTTTGAACTGTATATTTCCCTCTTCGAGACGCTGACAGAAAAGTTTCTCACAGGACGTTCCTTGTTGGCTTTCCTTGAGTTTTTTCAGAATGAGGAAAGTTTCGTTCAAAGTCTAATTGATGGTTGTCTGGAGGAAAGAACGGTCAGTAACGTTTGCAATGTTTTGATTAAAGCTGAAATGTATCTCTGCTTTCTTTACTGGCGAGATGACGGTATGTTTGACATCATTTACGAAACAGCAATAAAGGCAGCCAGTGATCACAATTGGCTTAACTCTGTCCACCAACGACTGCTTTTGTCGAAAACGCACGGTAGCTTGGCTATGGGTGCAACTGCAGAGACGGAGAGGCTGCTGTCGGTGAACAAGCAAGTTCAGTTGTCTGCTACCATCCAAGACACAGAATTTGAAGGAGAACTCTTGGCTTATCGAGGATTGTACAAACTTGTTATCGGGAGAGCTGAAGAAGGAGTGACACATTTAGAAGAAGCACTTTCGTCAATGGAGACCACTCCAAAGCACAGAATCCTAAAGCTCATTATTCTTCAAGTTCTTGCCCTTTATCATTGTTTCAAAAGTAACCAGTTAAAGTCACGTGACTTTTACAAAAGAGCAGTAGATGGATGTAAAGAAGTGGGAGACACAGGCTTAGTAGTAATTCCGGAGATCGATGAAACCAGTAGAGGTGAAGTCAGGATACATTTAAACGAAACCAGACTGACCCATAACCAGCCACTTCAAACCGAAGTTCTCATTCTCGTGAGTCAAGCAATAAAGAACATCTCCACTGATAAAACCAACCAATTCTTTTGTAATTTAATGCAGCAAATACTGACGGAATCTGACTCTGCCATACCAACTGGTGCAGCTGGTCGGTTCAATTTTCATTTCTCTGGGGCAAGACTGCTCAACAAATTAAAAGAGGACAAGGACCGTGTAATTCATATGGAAAATATAGTGAATTTCCATCCCAAAAGGATCCTAAAAGGAATTGAAAAAAGCATCTGTGCAACTTCCTCAAAAAACAGCGAACGCATTAAAGCCAACCATGTAGAAGCCTTAGAATCAGAAAAGCGTGCACTGAATATCAGGTTAAAAGTCCTGGGTGAACAACATTCACAAACCGCTCACAGCTATCATTCATTAGGAGTTACTCAACATTCACTTGGAGACTTTGTGTCAGCCCTTGAGTCAGACAAGCGTGCACTGGATATCAGGTTAAAAGTCCTGGGTAAAGAACATTCAGAAACCGCTGACAGCTATCATTCATTAGGAGTTACTCAACATTCACTTGGAGACTTTGTGTCAGCCCTTGAGTCAAACAAGCGTGCGCTGAATATCAGGTTAACAGGCCTGGGTGAAGAACATTCACAAACCGCTGACAGCTATCGTTCATTAGGAGCTACTCAACATTTACTTGGAGACTTTGAGTCAGCCCTTGAGTCAAACAAGCGTGCACTGAATATCAGGTTAAAAGTCCTGGGTGAAGAACATTCAGAAACCGCTGACAGCTATCATTCATTAGGAGTTACTCAACATTCACTTGGAGACTTTGTGTCAGCCCTTGAGTCAAACAAGCGTGCACTGAATATCAGGTTAAAAGTCCTGGGTGAAGAACATTCACAAACCGCTGACAGCTATCATTCATTAGGAGTTACTCAACATTCACTTGGAGACTTTGTGTCAGCCCTTGAGTCAGACAAGCGTGCACTGAATATCAGGTTAAAAGTTCTGGGTGAAGAACATTCACAAACTGCTGACAGCTATGATTCATTGGGAGTTACTCAACATTCAGTTGGAGACTTTGAGTCAGCCCTTAAGTCAAACAAGCGTGCACTGGACATCAGGTCAAAAGTTCTAGGTGAAGAACATTCACAAACCGCTGACAGCTATTATTCATTAGGAGTTAGTCAAAATTCACTTGGAGACTTTGTGTCAGCCCTTGAGTCAAACAAGCGTGCACTGGATATCAGGTCAAAAGTTCTGGGTGAAGAACATTCACAAACCGCTCACAGCTATCATTCATTAGGAGTTACTCAACATTCACTTGGAGACTTTGTGTCAGCCCTTGAGTCAAAGAGGCGTGCACTGGATATCAGGTTAAACGTTCTGGGTCAAGAACATTCACAAACCGCTGACAGCTATCATTCATTAGGAGTTACTCAACATTCACTTGGAGACTTTGTGTCAGCCCTTGAGTCACACAAGTGTGCACTGGGGATCAGGATGAAGGTGCATGGTGAAGAGGATCCACGAACTGTTAACAGCTTGGTTACGGTGAAGGACTTAAAAAAGTTCTTGTGAAGGAATTCATGATGAAAGGAGAGAAACGAGAACATTGCACTTAAGTATTTCGATAAAAGTCATTCAAATATCCACACTAATATCAAGAGATCCCGATGTAGGTATTTTTTTTGAGGATAATAGTTGAAAACTTGTCTTTCGATGCCGCTAGACCTTAAAAAAGGTTTTTTTAGAAGTAACCAAAGGAATTGCGCAATACAAAATTTTTTATTGGGGAGGGGAGGGAAGGGTGTCTATACAACTTTTTCCAAAGATTATACAATCAATTTGAACAACTTTCGTGAGTATTTTCAGGAACAACTGAGTCTATAAAACAGAATGAATATATTCTTACCCTCCTTGATCAAAGTACTTTCTTCTTGGGCATAATTTAAAGAAACTTTTAAAGTTTTAACCTCTAGTTCCAGCTTGTCAATTTTCTCTGTGAGTTTTCTCTCCAAGTCTTCATTTCATCCTGGGTTTGCCCTGTTTTCTCTTTTAGGTTTTTGAAATCTTTGTTAAAAGTGATGGTTGTCTCTGACCATACTGCTGCCAGCCCGTTAACATGGCCAAATGTTTTATTTAAATTCTTTGTTACATTTAGAATCTCCTTGGTGTGATTGGCGAACATATCAAATATTTGTTTAAACTACTTCTCATTGCCTGTTTCTTTGACAGGTGTAGAGTCTTGGTTGCTGAGATTTTCTATGATTGCCTGATGGGTATTTACTCAACTGTGAAGCGGTCAAGTAAATATCTACCATGCAGACTGTTTTAGTACTTAACACACGTTGGCGTAATTATTTGTTCCCATGAAAAGCAAAAAAAAAAAATCAAAGTAAATTTCCATCATATCATTGCTGAAGATAAAAAAGGGACTAAATATGACTTAGAAAGAGAAGTCAGTCGACACACCAATGGTTGGATAACTGAGGTGATAACCATTGTGTTCTCCCGACATAATCGATGCGTGACGTATAACGTCTCATAAATGTTGGATATGTCACGTGCGCGTTTGTGAAAGGCTCGAAGTTAAACGCGAAGCGAGTTCCCACGTGGACATCTCGTTAGCTAAACGCGACGCGTTTAGACTTAGTGTCCGTCTTTAAGCGAAAATTCAGCGACAGTTACGTCTTGGTAAATTACGGATGATATACACGACACCCATTCAACTTATTCATTTAATCGTGACATGACTCCAAAACGAAACTATCCAACAATGCTTTATTCAAAATTTAAAAATAACCTGCAAAGAAAACCCATTAAGTCTGACATGCCTTGGTGAGTCTTTTATGAAGAAGACAAAATGTTCAGTCATCAGGGAAAAAAATTGACGGCAATTGTTTCGAATGTTTTCGATATTAGTAATGAGATCTATTAATATCTCTGATGAAGGACAAAGAAAGACTAAAGAAAGTTGTTCTTTTATTACACCCACCCGCGGCTCTTAGCACATCTCTGCAGTTCACTCGTTCCTGATCGAACAGAAATTCGGATTTCCAAAGACTCTACGACTGTTTAAGATGTGAAGGTGAGTAGTTATGTTTCACTTTGTTGGTCAAGGTCTGTTCTGGATGGGTAGAGCAACAAACGTTACTAAAAGCTGCTGCTTTCGTCAGCCTGAACTGATTATTCTTGGTCAGAGAAGTGTATATACTCCTTCAAGTCTACGGTACGTGTACAGTAACTAAGTTCTTAGCCGCAGAAAGAAAATACTTTTACAGATCTTGAGCGAACTCAATAGTGATCAAAAGTATTTTTCAGCGAAAGGCCGTAGGAAATGATCATGAATGAATGAATGAATATCGTTTGTCACCTACATCTCACGAAGTAATAATTTCTTTTTCTGTTCATTAGTCCTATTTCTAAATCTCATGCAGCTGTGGTGATATCCACTGTTATGATTTCCATCCTCGTTGAAGTTTGAGTTACATTTTGTAGTATACTTAGTACTATTGCAGAGATTGTACCATAGCAAAATCTTGTAAAGATATTGAAACGGTCCATTGAACACACCATGGAATGTGTTCCCGCTTGCGAAATGGAAGCGTCATCTGAAGAAATTTTCACACTCTTAACTCGTCCCAATCTCAGCAATACTTAACTCGATAAAGGTGATGAAAATTCAATCTCACTTTTCTGAAAACAAAACTTTTCAACGGATGCGCCTGCGGCAAAATACCGCGCACCCAGCGCTGCGTCATAGTAGAGACATGTTGGTTACACTCAGCTGATTAGCTATTGATTTGATATTACTAGAGTGGTTTTTAATCGAGGGTTAAAAATAATCCTGAATTGCTATTGCTTCGGTATTAATAATGAGATCTATTAATATCTCTGATGAAAGACAAACAAATTGGTGGACTTTTTCTTTTATAACATCCACCACGCGACTCCTAGCACATCTCTGCAGTTCACTCGTTCCTGATCGAACAGAGATTTGGATTTCCAAAGACTTTACGACTATCTAGAATGTGAAGGTAAGTATATATGTTTCACTTTGTTGGTCAAAGCTTGTTCTGGATGAGCAGAGCAACAAACGTTACTAAACGTTGCTGATTTCTTTAGCCCGGACTGATTATTCTTGGTCAGAGAAGTGTATATGCACTTTCAAGTTTACGGTTCTTGTATAGTAACTAAGTTCTGAGCTGCAGAAAGAAGATATTTTAGAGATCTTGAGCTAACTAATGTGCTCAAAAGCGTTTCACAACGAAATGCCGCAGGAAATGAAATGATCATGAACATCGTTGGTCATCCACATCTCACGCGGTTGACATCTCTTTCTCTGTTCATTAGTCATATTTCTGGATCTCATGCAGCTGGGGGGATATCCACTGCTATGATTTCCGTCCTCGTTGAAGTTTGAGTTACATTTTGTAGTATACTAAGTATACTGTTGCATAGATTGCGCCACAGCAAAATCTTGTAACGATATTGAAACGGTCTATTGAACCCACCATCGAACTGAATATCTTTAATGTTACTATTTGCAAATGGAAGCGTTTTATGAAGAATTTTTCACACACTTAACTCGTCCCAATCTGAGCAGTACTTTACTCGATAAAAGTGATGAAAATTCAATTTTTCTTTTCTGAAAACAAAACTTTTCAACGGATACGCCTGCGGCAAAATACTGCGCACCCAGTGCTGCGTCATAGTAGGGAAATGTTTTCTTCAGCTGATTAGCTATTGATCTGATTTACTGGAGCGGTTTTCAATCGAAGAAAAAGTAATACTAGATTATTATGCTCCCGCTTTACTTTTCTCTGTGATTGGTCCAAAAAACTCTCACCATTCTCTGAACGAATCAGGTTCAAAACTGGACCAATTGCGTGTTAGTCAATTCCGTTTTTCCGCGCTTTTAGGTAGTTTGCTTGTTTCTACTCCGAGATCTTATTGACTGTTTATGATGTTTTCCATTGTTCTCAGTGATTGAATTTGATAAGTTTGCCTTGAGTTCAATTTAATAAAGAAAATACACTTGTAGCTTTTACACGTGTAATTTACACGGGCAAAGTCCGGCTTGTAATATAAATACAAGGATGTAATAAAACAATATTCCACACTGGAATTTACACGTGTATCTCGAGTCAGTGCAAAAGTGTAAATTACAATTGTAGAATTATAGGAAGGTTAACCCCATTGAGACCTTCTTACGACTGTAAACTCTGCTAGAATGTAATACGTGATTTTTTTTATATATGCAATTAAAAATCGCTGCTGTCCTTTCAATACATGCGGCTTTGCTTCCTTTGCTTTCAGTTTTATTGGTAAACAATCGCTGAGCATGTTATCCAAACAGCAAAAGTTGCTTTTGGCTCAGCTTGTCAAGGAACATAAATTGATAGTTTTGGCGCCATTTTCGTCGACAGTAACGAAGAAAGTAAAGCAAGAAGCGTGGGAAAAGATTCACAGGCAGTTAAACGGTGTTGGCGCAAACATAGACAGCGCCAAAACACTTCGAGATGTTTTGTGGGCCAATATTCGCAGGGCTACTCTCAAAAAAGTTAGCGAATCTAAGAAGACTGGTGCAGGGGGAAGTGGAGAGCTCACCGAGCTAGACGAGACTGTCCTCGATGTTTTAGGCCGTGAAAGTACAAACTTAGAGCCCGTGAAAGTCGACGATTCGGATATTGTATTTGGAGAGGAGATCGTTGTCACAACAACTCCTAGCGTCGGAGGAGGAACTATTGTGTAATGCCAAACTAGAGTAAAAGTTTTATAAACCAACTCAGATCTTAAAACCGGAAGAGGTACCTCATCTTAGATCCTGAAACCCTAAACCCCACCCTGCGACATTTATCCTTTCCCAACGCGGACAAACCGGAGCGACTTCTAACTCAACATATTATGAAGTTATCGTTATGGTCAATTTCTTTGCACTAGGTGGCGTTGGAAGTTACACTGAGGAAGTGCAATTTTCTACCGCAGAAACTGGAATTGGTGAAACGGAAGAAATAAGTGGACATAGTAGTGTCGGCTCACCACAAATGTTACCCAGGCAGGCAGTCGCCGGAACACCAACGCCAAAAAAAATTGGACGTCAAGCTCTGTCATCAGCTGGGAAGAAAGGTGCTCTCAGGGCTAAAGGGAAATCGTCAGCTACAGACAAGAAGACAACATAGGACGACATACTGCGCCTTAGAAAGAGAAAGCTCCAACCAGAAAACGTTAAGCTGAGACTGGAGATAAAAAAACTCAGAAAGGATCTTGAAAATTAATTTCATTAAAAGGCGTCCAAAATGTAAATTAAATTGATTATATTGGTAGCCTTTGGACATTTGCCGAACTTATTGTATTATAATGCTATTGATAGTCGGAGGAATACTGTTAATTGGTGATGGGCGATATCAGAATTATGACCTACATGTACACTCACTTTTTCCTTTGGAAGTTAGGTGTAAGTGTACTTTGTGCAATATAACGTAATGATTACCGTCATTGAATGAAAAAATGGCCCATTTATTTGGCACGATATTCAAACAGCGGCAGTTTTTAATTCAGCGTCATTTGCATAAGTC